TTTGTTACACTTCATGTGGTTCAGCACTGCAAACACACATTTTGCCCCCTTTATGAAACCCTCGGCAGACAGTTTGCATGTTGGACATGTTTGTACTGTTTTCAGTTCAGTGTTCAGGAACTGGAGTGCTGAATGAGTTGGCAAAAAACAGCATAATAAGACATACGGTGGAATAGTGCCTCATTTCAAGTCAGAGTGACTTTCAGGCAAGTCCTAAACGAGTTTTGATTGAGTAACTTGTAGATCTGTGTTGACTCGAGTCGAGACCTTTTTAGGGTGCTTTCACACTAGCACTTTTGGTGCGCACCCGGGTTCGCCTGATGTCAGAGTTTGGTTCGTTTGGATGATGTGAACGCTGTCTTCCAAACTCGGGTGCGCACCCGCGAACCATACCCGAGTCCACTTAAAAAGGGTGGTCTGGGGTTCGGTTCATGTGAACTCCGGTACGGTTCGCTGCTGATGTGAATGCAATCGTACAAAACCACAGAAGTGAACCACTATTAATGACGTATAATTTGATAAAAATGTGTGTTTGTGTGTGTTTCACTCACTTTCCTGACGAGCATGACTGACGCGCTCCAAGCAAAGAGCTGTATATCTTATTTCTGTTCACCTTCAGTGTTCTTTAGAGCATTTGCAGTACATTCGTAAGACCATCGTAAGATTCATAAGTGCCGTTATGTACTGAAGCTTTGGAAACGAAACCAATGGTTCAAAAACATAAATATATAAAAATGAAGAGAGCAACTATGCATTTTGCTGCCTTACTTAAGCAACGGGGTAAACAGCTGCTGGCTTGATGACGCAAACAAACCACGGTTCCAAATAAAATAATATGAACGCAGTCCAATGGGGGCAGGGGGAGGGGGGAGCAATCGAACTCAGGTTCGGACCAGGCAAGTGAACCAAGTGTAAAAGCACCCTTAGTCTAAGTTAAAATCAGTTAAGTCTGATTTGATGAACTGGTTCACCAAATGCTAATTAAGCAGTGAGTTGCATCGTTAGAAACACAGCTCTGTATGACTTTCTTCAGTGGAACGGAACCCAAAAAAAAAAAATATATATATATATATATTATTATTTTTGCAAATGCATTTGCAAATTATGATTTTTGTAAATGCAATGAAAATCAAAAGGGGTCTAGTGTTGTTTTGGACCCTATTGGCTTCCATTGTATCCCTTTAATCCCATATCGCTTCAGCACACGAATATGGAGAATGTGAAACATTCCAAGCACTTGTGAGTCTAAGATGAATGCAGCTGGAGCCACAAGGCCATTTGTCCTGTGAACCACCACTCATCAGTCTTTTCTTAGGTTTGACGTCATCCCGAATGCAAACGCAAAGAGGAAGAACTCCAACAGGCCATTTTCTTCTTGGAGCAAATATCATTTTCAGCGACACCGCTGGTCTTGTTCATTTATTAGCTGCCAGCAGCTGTGTGTACAATGGCCAAAACTTGGGAGCTGTCCAGTGCTGAAAACAGAGGATATACCAGGAAACAAAAAGAGAGAGAGAAGCTTGTATTGGAGGACCGAGTGCCTGAAGTAGCACTGTGCAAATTGCTGGCATAATTATCAGGCTTCTTTTCCTTCTGGACCTCTCCCACAGGGTAAGCGATAAAACATTTTCTAAATGAATCTTTAAACCGCAAGGTAGTGTGTTTTTGTCTTGAGCAGACCTGCGAGCCAAATGGAATCTTTTCAAGACAGAAAAAGAATTAGGGCTGAAAAGAAATTAAAATTAATATTTTCTTCTCCCTCTACGAAGTTAAACTCTTACAGTCCCATTTCGAAAACCAGCAAAACACAGACCAGGTGTCATGATTCATTTGTGGTGTTTAAGGCGGCAAATGCCCGTTCTGAATAATGTATTCCAAGTCTGGGCACCGATAAATATTCAGACTTTGGCGGATTGGCGGGTGACACATGTAGTAGAGACAGCTGCTGCCAACTGCTTCCTCTGGCTCATGGGATTAGACACAACTACTCTTTCTTGTCAGCTGTCAATCAAGACTGCGCACACAACGTAAAACACCAACCTGGATGACTGTGGACATAAATTAAGACTTATATTGGCATTTATTCACCACACAATCACAAACAGACCATTAACTTTGCATAATTAAACACAGCCTTTGTCACAAATCAGCACTTGGCTTATGCAGGAACACAAAACTAGCATGAAGTTTTCTTGAATTTGCATCTACCAAAAATTTATAGAATAATTTTAGTAGACCTGGATGACTGTGGACATAAATTAAGACATTTACTGGCATCTATTCACCCCCAACACAAACAGACCATCAACTTTGCATAATTAAACACGGCCTTCATCACAAATCAGCAGTCGGCTTATGCAGGAACTCAAAACTAGCACAATGTTTCCCTAAATTGCATCCACCAAAAATTTCCCGACTAATTTTAGTAGACTTGGTTCATTAAACACGGCATATGTTAATTTACGACAAGGACATTATCTCCTGGAATCCGAAGGCATTTAGCTTTCTGGATGCTATTCAAGTACAATTCAATTCCACCTGTCAGCACAACCCCCCCTCATACAATTGTAGGGACTAAATTACGCAGTCGAGCGGAAACGCGTATTATTAAAATATGAGAATCAATCAAGTGCCCTCTACAAGTCACCCAACGCCAAAATGGTTGCGCTCAGAGGCAATTTCCACTTTTTGAGACAAGAGACAACATGCTCAAAGGTGCTCCTCTGGCATTTACGATTATACAGGGAGAAGAGGGTGCTCAGATAAAGAGCAGAATGGATGCCCCAAGGAGATTTACCGAGGTTCTGGAGCCAACTTGAAAGGCTGCTTGGTTTTGCAAGACTGAGCTGCTCCGCTGGGACTCGGGGTTAGAAAGAAAGGTCTTTGAACCTGGAGGCGCCGTATCGGAGCACTCACCCTGATATAGATGCAAGCAACACAGGGTTGCTTGAGGGTGACAGGGTATGAGTTTAGCAACACAGCCTCAGCGGACACCCATATGTTTATTTGATCAATTAAGATCAGGGATGGGCTAAAATGCTGGCCAATACGGTAAACTAATGGTTATGTTATGGTGATAACCAATAAACGGGCAATATTATTTTGTCCAAAATAAAAAATTTAAATAAATATAAATAAAAATGAATAAAAATGTAATTAAATAACCGTAAAAACTAAAATCAATCATTTTAAAAGCTGCAAGTTAATTTAGGCATCCATAATAATGGATATTATGAAAAAGGTTATTCATTTTGAGATTTGCTAAAAACTGCATTTAACAATGTTCAAATATGAAAGATATGGCTGATAACCAATCAATGGCTGATATTAAAATTCTATATAAAACAATTCATTAAAAAAATTAAAAAAGGAAATAAATGTAAATAAATTTTAAATAACACTAAAAATTAAATATATTATTTTTTAACGTTATATTTAAGTGAATTTAGGCATCCATTATAATGTACAGTACAATTAAAAAAAACATTTTTTTTTTCAAAAGTTGTAAATAAAACATTAGTGGAGTACAATTCACAATACCATTTTAAAACAGTACAATCTTTCTACTTCTGAATTTCATGTTTAATTCAATATATTGCTGTTTGTTTGCTGTTTATTCGTGAAATTTACTAGCAATTTCTGAGTGAAAACTGTTTCTTTTTTTTGGTCAGTATATGAAAAATGGATATTCAGATTTGCTATTAAAAATCTAATATACCAGCTTATACAACTAAAGCCAAACAAAAGCAATTGCTGGAGGTTGCCGAAATGCTGTGCGTTGCTTCCTAATATGCTGCAATATCTGACAGTATGCACTCTCATTGGTAGTCACTGCATGGCTCATTTGCATAAAGTTGGACTCCAACTTTGTTGCATCGCTTGTGTTGCCGGAACTTTCTACAAAAATTATGGTGCAAAACTGTTCCCAGTATGAGCGCGCCATAGGATATACTCCAAGAACGGTATAATTTCAGAGGAGAGGAGAGGAGAGGAGAAAGGTGAGAAGAGAAGAGAAGAGAAGAGAAGAGAAGAGAAGAGAAGAGAAGAGAAGAGAAGAGAAGAGGGCAACGTTACAAACCTTGCCCCACAGTAACCAATTTGCTGCAAACAGCTGCCTGAAATTTTCCCAGGGCACCTGGAGCCACAACTCGCACCACTTTCTATTTCTGATGCTCTTTGACAAATAACACACATCTTCACATTCACAAGTCACTCTCTTGCACTTTTCTCTTGTCAGCATCAAGACTTGTTGTAGACTGATGCAAGAAGCACCTGGAGTGCTCCGTCAGGTAGAGACTCAGGGGTTCAGACCGAACAGAGACAACAGAGTCAGTCACGACAGAATGCCAAGAGAAATTCGGCTCAGTCTTCCTCTCCCACCAGCTACACGCTGTCGTCGAGGCAGGCACAAGACTGGCAGCGCTCAGCACTTGTCAGCTTTTAACAGCATCCAGCTGACACTCTGCGAAGGAGAAAAACAATGCGGGGTCCCTTTCGATCCCAAAATTCTCGCTCACTATTTCTGATGGGATTTCTTTCAACCACTTCACATCAAGGCATTACTGCAAATGACATCTTGCAGGTGGGGGGTTATATCAAGGCAAAGAAAATGACTCACTTGAGTGGATCTGGGGAAAACCGGACAAGAACATTGCATTTGATTGCATTTGAACCCACAAGCACTTTGCAAATCACGTAATATTTCAGAGGATAAGTGATTAATAGGTCTGAGAACTGCACAAATATCTGATTTTAGAAATTAGATAGCAATCTACTCTTCATATATTTAACATTTCACCATGATGTCTTCTGCTCCGAACAGCCGTTCAATATCGTTGTGCTCCTGGTTTTATCCCCTTGACTGTCCTCACTGAGGTACTGCGCTTGGCAAGGGGGCTGTATATAGCCTATCCTGAACACAAAACATCCTACACCACGTTATACATTAATAATGAAGCGAGACGCAATCAGTTAAGCACAAAAACATCGCTTGTTCTCACCTTCTCCGAAGTAAAGCGCGTCGTCGCCTCAGAAAGTCCACAGGAATGCCGCGTCGCCTCAGATACAGCAGAGTAGATGATAACAGCCGCTGATGTTAACCATTCAAATCTGTTCAGCCTCAGAAACGTGTTAAAACGAACTCCTTACTTCGTTAAAATCGTTCAAAAAGCACGGTATTTCTCCTCAGCCCGGGTCCAGAGAGGAGCTCGAAACGGCGCACGCTTCGCCGGTCGCGAGGAGAGACACTGAACAAAAGCGCGTCCGGAGGCTCACAGCGGTTCCCCCCTCACCGAATGAACGGAGCAGATGCTTAGGCAAGAGAGTGCGTTAGACGGTGTATAGCCAATTCTCTATGGACTTCGGTGGGGGGATGGACAATATTTTGCACAATATTTCAGCGATTCCGTCCTTTGTTTGGTCATTTGCTTGGGCAGATTTATTGCGGTGCACAGGGTGCGAATTGTGGAGAATTTGGGGGTTCATCTGACTCCTAGTTATTTGAATCCACCAAAACGAAGTTACAACAGTCCCTTACGAAAATTAGCCATGGTTTTACAACCAAAAAAGCATACCCTTATACGAAAATTAACCATTTACTACCAATTAAACCAAAAAACCATGGTAACTATAATTAAACCATGGTAACCACAAATTAACCATGGTTTTGCTACACTAACCATAGTTTAACCATGGTATTTGTAGTAAAACTGTGGTTATACAAATGGTTACTACAGTTTTACTACAATAAAACCATGGTTAATTTTCGTAAGGGTAGTAGCTAATATAGTTAATAGTTAAAAACAAAAACATAGTAACAATATAGTTAAACCATGGTAATCTTAAATTAACCATGGTTTTGCTACACTAACCACAGTTTGCAGTAAAATGATGGTTGTACAAATGGTAATCAATTCTCCCATAAAAAAAAAAGAATGTGGGTTGTAAAAGTATGTAGCCTTTACATACTGTATGCATATATATGTGCATATTTAAACAGTGTTTCAAGCCACCAAGTACCACAAAATATATATAAATTAATGTAATTATTACAAGTAGTTAGAATGCGCTGAATAGAAGCTATAGCAAACAGAAGTCATGTTGCCTGGTGGTGACCATAGCAACGTTCCTAGCATTGCTGTACGGATTAGTATGTGAAAATACGTCGACAAAACACTTTTTATTCTTAATTTTTAAACTTTAATGTTCATCAACATTTTTTTTAACGACCAAGTGCCACAAAAGTTAGATTACGACAAAATCAGAATGTGCCAAATAGACGTTAGCGAACAAACAATTTGAGGTAACCAAAGCAACTATTCACAATTTATATAAGAACATTAAATGCATTGACAAAAAAGTACTCTATTTTTATTTATCTTCTAAATGTTAGTGTTTATTACAAATAGGCTACGATATATTCCAGGTCTTATTGCTTTATCGTAATGGAATCAAACATTTAATGATTGTTTTTGACTGAAAGAACCTTTAAAATCCATGGAACCTTTCCAATGCACAAAAGGTTCTTTATAGTGGAAAAAGGTTCTTCAGATTATTAAACCAAGAAAACTGTTTCTTTCAAGAACTGTTTACCGAAAGGTTCTTTAAGGAACCCAAAATGGTTCTAAGGCATTGCTATGAAACCCCCATTTGGGAACCCTTATTTTTAAGACCAAAAAGGTCCCAGTTTTGTCAGATTTAACAAACAAAATTGTTTAAATTCACCTAAAATGCTTATTTTATACTTCGGGTTATATACACAAGTTAATTTTTATAATTTATTAACAACTTTGTTCATTGTGCTTTTGTATATGCATATTTATTGCATCGGCCAGATTATCTTCCCATTGTCCATTATTTGACAAATGTCCACACGAATACCCATTGTCTTCGTAAGCCAACCCATCTACCAGTTCTTCTGTTTGCAGATGAATAAATCATCTCAGCATCCCAAGGAGCCTTTAAAAAAAGCTCTGGAGAACCTGACCTGCCCCCTGTTTTATGACAGAATAATGATATCCCTCGAGATGCTGCAAATCTGTTCCTAGGGGCCACACTGTGGTCCACTGACACACATTTCACCCGACCTATAGAAGCCCACTCACTTAACACTACCCCCAGTTCAGTCGTTCATCACATTCATCACTGTCATCCGATTACAGATGTTACTGTGTAAACAAATCACAACAAACCGCAAAGCCTCTTCTCAGTGTTCCTGTTGTGATGCCTCGTCTTATAATGAACATAACAGCTGAGGGAAAAAAATGTGAGGGCTTTCGCTTTGAAGCCCTCAAATGTTGCAGCTGATCATTAGCGTACATTAGGGACACAATAACCATTATACTTCATTGAAAAGAGATTATTTCTTATACAGGATGTTTGAATAAATGCCAATCATAAGCTAAATATAATCTTGGCAGCAGGGCTCTTTGAAGGGAAATGGTAGGGATTTAAAACACTAGGCTAACTGGCTCTATAATGGCTGTCCGCGGCTTTATAGCGAACCGAAAAAAGCATGAACATGAGAAATAAGATTTCTCTGACTAACCGCATGAGGAGAAAATACCCTGGTGACATATATATAACAGATAGTCCCCAAAAAAATATATGCCCCATTGTTCCAGACTCCCTCAAAACGGTATTGTCAAGGGACGCTGGCCAAGGCGTAATACATACTGCCACACAAATCCATTATTTAAACAGCTGACAATGTAACGGTCAATGAACAAAGGACTCCTCGCAGTGGCCCTCAAAAAGAACAACACAATATGGATGATTATCGGTCGCCAGCTGACTGTTTTAATATCATTTCGTTTTTACCAACACTTTCCTCTCCATCATTGCTGCAAGTCTGATCTCAGAGAGTCATAACAAAAACATCTCTGAGGAACATAGTACTTTGTTAAAAGGCGGCGAACAAGATGTCACCATTCAAAAATAGGCACAGACCTGTTATTGCCTTCATCTGGGGAATTAGATGCATATAATAATACTATGCTTGGAGAAAATGATGTTGAAATACAACGTGTTAAAATGTGCTCAGATTACTTACTTTGATTCATTTCATGGATGCTTGTATCCAGTGCAACTTATGAATATTAATATACAAAACGAGCCAAATTTTCTTTAAATATAGTGAATATTTCAAATTTGCACTATTTGGTCTTACAGTATCAAAACAAGGGTATGGACCTCTAAAACCTGGTTTTCAATTGGGGGTCTATGAAACTGCTGGGGGTCCATGGAACAGATATATAATTCAATTCAATTCAAGTTTATTTGTATAGCGCTTTTCACGATACAAATCGTTGCAAAGCAACTTTACAGCAAATTAAGTTTCTACAATATATTTAGTATAGCTTATCAGTGGTGACTGTCAGATTTAATAAGAGAACATTATTGGTCATCCAATCTTTTACATTTTTAACACACTCTGTTAGCTTAGATAGTATATATAAAACATATAGACATTTCTTGAAAAATGTCCATATATATTTTTGGCTGGTTCTCTTGCTTCGTCAGTTGATTCACTTGATTCTATACAGCATAAAAGCTTTATAAATGAATCCAAAACACAGAAAAGTCAACAGTAGGTTAGCGTAAAGCAAGTTGTTATACATTTTTCAATAAAATACAAGAGAAAAAAATGAAAATAATAAATAATTATAATTTAAAAAATACAATACAATAAAATAAAGATTTAAAACAAAATATAATAATACAATTTAAAAATATAATAAAATACAAAATACAATTCAAAATATGATAATGTGAAATTGAAAATAAAGTATAAAATTAAAATATAAGATAAAAAAAATTCTAATAAAATAGATGTAAAACAGGCGTTTTTATAAAATGCTTTTTATAAGAGTAAGATTATAATATAAAACAAATTAAAAAGAATAAAATAAAATGAAATAAAATAAAACATAAAATAACAAAAAATAACAGCTAATATAAAGTAAACATTAATAACAAATAACATAAAATAAAGAAAACAAAATATAAAAATGAAATACAAAAAAATACTTTTTTTTTTAAAGCATTTTTATATTACGGTAGCCCTGAGATTGCTAGTAGTCTGGATTTGGGGTCCCTGGATTTACATTAAAAAAAAAAAAGTTGACAAGCCCCTCATTTACAAATTTGTGCTTGAATACTTGTCTGCTGAGTTTGTAGACTTTGAACTGTAGACATTCCCGATTTATTGTAAATCCATTAATTTCCCCTCTAATCCATTTATCCACTGTCGACAGTGTCATGAAAGAAGAAATCTACAGTTCCACAGCCTTATGTTTCTCTAAAGCCACTACCATTATGGCTGGGGGGGGGGCGTTGACTTGACTCTGGCATGGGGCCAGGCCTACCGCACAGCTTTTTGACCCAGAAACCACTGACATAAGCACTTAATGGTGGTCGCCCATCTCGTCTTGGTCACTTGCCATCGGCTCGAGGGGGAGGGTTGGGGGAACAAAGCTTGGTAATGATGCCGCGTTGGCTGCCTGGTTAAAGACCTTTATGGGAGCCCCGGCGAAGCCATGGAGCGTGGAGAAAAGAAGAGTGTCAGCACAAGATCCTAATGAGAATGAAATGAAGCTGCTTGGATGGGGCCCAGCTGATCCATAATTGATGAGGGTGGAATGCGGAGACTCGTCGGGTGTAAATGATAAACACACTACAGCGGTGAGAAATTACGGCTTGCCTTTGGCTTGCATTTTGGATGATGTGTCTATTGGATTTTTAATTGCATACCTATATAGACCACTTGTGATTGGGCTCTATTGTGCGCTGCTAAAAGAAATCTACAGCCGAACATATTAAAAATTCCCCGCAACACATTAATGGAGCATTGTAAATGAAAATATGTCCAATGTGAAGGGGTATAATCTCAAAAGACATACATAAAACTTATTACTATTCTGCCTAATTAGCAATTACACAGGCTCCAAAGCAGGTAAGTATATGTAATAATGTGTCAGTCATGCAAATCTAAAGCCTTTATGGCTTTCATGAGGCATTGGACAAGGATTTCGGTTATCAACAACAATACAAAAAATGATTTTATGAAGTTGTGAATAAGATTATTGGAGTAGGTTTTACAAGAAAGCGCTATTTCAAAACTACATGTTTAATTTAATGTGTCACTAGCAGTTTCTTTGTAATTATTTAAAAATAATATTTAAAAAATGACTTGCAATTTCTAAGTGAAAACGGTTTCAAAGTA